GCCATGTGGTGCCAGTTTAACTGGTGCTAGCTAAATGCTTGAATGATAAGTCTGTCTAACTCTCAAAATGGCCCGTGTACCCCTTAAACTAAGATGGTTCCCTACACAAATGAAATTCCCGGGATCTGGCATTGATGATAACCTCTTTAGAGCTTCCAGTCCTTCTGGAGCGAGCTCACACGTCAGCCTAGCTCGCTTAGCGTATGTGTCGTTACATTTAACACGGAGGTGAAGCAGATAAAAAAGAGACGGTTCGTCCTTGCCCAACCAGTTCTATATTTATTCTAAGCTACTTATGAGTAATAAAGAATTAAGAAACATAACCTACTCCACCGGTATGCGAGCACACCAGACAGAAGGGAATCTTGAGTCATATACATTCATGTCACAATTATAACATTACTAGCCTGTCAACCGTGGTCGCTTGGTCCAGTTCTGTTCAGCTCAGCAGCTGTCAAACCGTGGGTGACTTACTTTTCCTGCGGATTGTTCGAATGTTCGAATTTGGAATTTCACCACCAGCTGCTGAAGCATTAATTGCTTATCTAAGGCATCTACCAATTTTGCGTTGCTCTCCGTTCTTGTTGACAGGCAACTATGAAAACTTTTTGATCTTTACGATGAGTGTGAAGCTCGCACGTGTGATCTGACAGCGTGGGATACGCTAAACTTTGAGGGACTATCGGTTAGACGCTACGTAAGAGCGAAGAATGTTTCTAAACTGGTCGGTTATTCGTTGTACGCGTGCAAAAAACGGTCTCATGATTTACATGACCCAATCAGGTTGTTAAGCTCTGGCACATGTGACAATGACATCTGATGGTCTGAACTCTGAAATAGCGACTATTCTTAGTCCGCTGTCGCTCCACCGCCTTACAGGTTCACGTACGCCATAACAGTCAGTCAAATGACGAGGAATTACTCAGTTGAGTGATATTCAGGCTCTATTCAGAGCTAACACAACCGGAAAGTTACGTATAGTGTTCAACAACTTCCAGTGCCGTTCTGGGTAGTTCTCTTGTGAGTGGGGGTCTCCGCTCAGTTTTCTTTATGTGCGAACAAACCGGTCGCTTATTTCGTCTTTCTACGCAGATCTTTCAAAGAATCACCTTCCCTCTCCTCACACTCTTTGCCGACTTGCCAGCCGGGTATTATGGAGCACCAACGGCCAATTTCGCATTCTCCCGAGAACGACTAAACATTTCTGTGCCCATTGACAAAACAAGTAAGCCACCTGTAATCATGCCTTTTCAACCATATCTTACTTGCGGACCCCTAAAACCAAGTTTTATCGAACCATATCATAGCTGTTTTCTTTCTAAGAGACCAACATCAGAAGCCGCCAGCTGTGGGAGAGTAACTTTGAAGCGCCTTCCATTTGTGAATTGCCTCTCAGAGGACGCCGCAGAACACAACGTGAAACATTGGGATATCAAGGTTGGGGAAGCCAACAAATGGACCACAGTGAACAAAGACAGAATCGTGGTCAGATGGATGCCAGCCAGTCAGAACACAGGCGAATAAGCCATCCAGTAGAATTGCAGAACCGAACGACCAATCACGATTGAAGGTCGACAGTTATGCACAACCAGTCAGCAAACTCTAGTCGACATGGGATAAACTGGATGTATTACATGTTGAGAGGCTTTATAATATGGCCAAAAAGAGGTCCAGCAATCAGTTGAAACAACTGAAGGAAATCAGGGGACATATTTCGTCAAAAACTCACACTGACCACCAACCCATCGGTACGCTCGGTAACAGTGTACTGATGATGTCACCGCGATTGGTGATGAAATGTTTGCCCAGCTAAGCGAACAAACCAACTACCATAGTCTGAATGTTCAGGCTCCAATCCCACGTTGTGAGTCACATGACTGCTCCGCTGAAGGCCTGCGTTAGACAAGGTGCACTTTTCGAATTAAGTCATTTATGAGCAAAGTACAGTTCTGATAAGAGGTCGACATGCCTCACGTGTCATAGTTCTGGCGTTTCCTTTCCCATGAAGGCCACAATACTATATGAATGAAAACGCATGGGTTTGCAACCTGGCATTCTTGAATATGGTCTTGAGAAAGATACGAAGTCAATAGTTAGGCCGCTGAATTGAGCCGATCAGTTTAAGCGCCCGAAACTCCAGCGCGTGCGTAGAATTGACCTGGTAGGAACAATAAGGTATTTCAAATTGCGGACTACTGGTTTTTAAAGAACACATTCTTGTTCAACGTATGCACGCATTTGCATACCAGTTTGGTTTTTACAAGAGACTCGCATGGAACCCGACTGAATCTCTCGTTTATGATGTTTCCAAGCAACTGAATGTGTTGCACCAGGCCGCTTCAAGTTCTACGGTTTTCAAGATATCACAACACATTACATAGACGTAACAGACTATCCGTTAGTTTCCTCATCATCAACAACATCATCATCATCATCGATAGCATGACATCAGTGTTCAACACCGATGGTTCACTGCCGTACAACCATGATTCATTAGAAAGCCTTATTGTAAAGAAAAGAGTAAAGGTGGACGGAGAAGCGACTTAGTGCTAGCCTAACACAATCATTCCGAGGTGTCTACACCTCCAGACATCCACTCAGGCGATCTGAAAGATCACGCGGTCCCCATCCTGGAACGCGAGTAGCACCGACAGCACCCAAGCGTTTCGTGATCTCCTTCATACTCCTCTGCCAAGTCAAGGGTTTCCCACCTCTCTGTTTACGCTACTCTGAATTGCGTATGGAAAACAGCACTCTTTTCGGCAAAAGATGGTTCGGCATACGTGACACATGTCCCAACCAACGCAGCTTCTGGTGGAGGTACCCGTTGCACAACCGAAAACACGCTTTCTAACTTCCTGGTTACGGATTCGCCCACATCAACCCACACGAGCTATGGTTCTGAGGCAACGATTGTCGGACACCTGAAGACGTCTCAGTTACGCTGCTCGAATAGGCCAAGTCTCACAACCGTAAAACGAAACAGCCCGCACTGTAGCTTGATACACACGCCCCTTGAGATTCAGGGACAAACCGTTAGTTTACTAAGAACTATTCGACAGCCCACCAACGGTTTTGCCGTGTATTCACCAGTGTTCACTGTGATCGCCTGGAAATGCCCAAATTCGGTTGACGTGCAAACGCCTGTTTATACCCAATCTTCGCTCACCCAGATGACCAGAAAGTCTACAAATTTTAGTGTGACGTCCTCATACCTTATTAGAACACGGTATTTGAATAACGAGACAGTGATTCACTCACCAAAGTCCCAAAGGACTAGCTGGTGACAACCACTGGGCATCGCTTCTCAGGTGTTTAAACATCGTCAATCATCGATGACTGATTGCTTGAACTTACTTGGACTTTCTCGGCCCGAAAATTCGGCGACTTTCCTGAAGCAATTTCAGTCACATTGCTGGTTCCCAGACAGTTCCGAGCATTTTGTGGTAATTTTAAATAATCTGAAGTTCCTGACAATTTTGTTGCGTAAAATGCTGGTCTATCGTCACTTGGTCACGTAACATGGAAAGCAAGGTCACAGTAACCTTGGATAGAACAAGTGATCGAAGAATTTGTTTGGTTTGCAGTGAAGTGAAGGTTTTGATTTTAAAGTACACATTTTCTCTCGGCGAGATGGTCAATATTGCTACTGATGCCAGTAGTATGTGGATGAAAGCTAAATATTCATAAATGGCCCTAATAGAGAACAACTTTTAGGAACCCCTGTTTCAACTGTGTCACAGGAGTTTCAACTGAACGTCATAATTCTGTCAGTGTATGACCCAGTGGTTCACAGAACAGCTGAATGGTCAGGATAAAACACCGGCTCGTGAATTTCGGTGGACGGCTTTCCTTCTACGCATATTTTCTGGTTACGCAATTACTCGTTCTCCGTACAGCTCGAGCTGGTCCCGAGTAGACCCGATTAGTATTGGATCCGTTCCTTCGAGAGGTCTGACTTAAGTCATCCCAGACTTGAATCTATCGGTTCCTCAATCGATTGATTAACTAGTGGTCCGAGTAAGTTATCACCCAAATGAGTGAGTGAAAGATTGACTGATTAATCGTCTCACAGTATAACTCAATGTTTCATCGATTAATCCATCGATTGATTAGCCTCCTGACTGAATGATTTGTCAGCTGATTAGTTTAAACTCTCGGTTAGTTTCCTATGGCAGAATATTATTCATTTACGTGTACCCTAAGACACTGCATGCATGATACAGCTTAATTTGTCGGTCTGTTTGCTCGGCTGGGCGACATGATTGCAAACATTTCATCACCAATCGAGATGGTCTAATCAGCGCATTGTTAGGGAGCGTGGTAGAGCGCAGCGATAGGTCATTGGTTGTGCTTTGAGTGGTGTTGCGTGTGTGCAATCCAGGGTTGACCTTCGATCACGATTGGTAGTTCGGTCGGGCGGTCCTATTGGCTGGCTGATACCCTGTCCTGATTGAACGACGGCCATGTGACCTTTGAGCCTGGCCTCCATCGTTCAAGCATTTTGTGTATCTTATCGGTAGATTACCTATCACAGCACAATACATAATAATTTTACTCCACTGAACATACCGCACTCCATTCGTCGCAAAATGTCAGTTTATTGGAACCCCAAACTGGACTGACCAAGTTCTTCTTCGACCTTTGTTTCAGAATTGACCGTCAGATTCTTTGATCAATTCTCAGTCATCGCCCCTGCTGAAGATGCGTATCAACTCAGCGACGGATGGGTATATAAGATCAACAAGGTGTTCTACAGACCAGAAGATATGAATTTGATGGCCTGTATCAAGCCCAAGAGAAACTGAAATGTCTCTAGAAATAACGCACACGCGATTGCCCAATCAGAATCGGTTGCGTTTTGATTGGTTTTTGTAAACAATCTTTTGTCCACTTGTCTTGTTTAGCTCGAATCCACACCTTTTTGAGTTTTGTACTTTTCCAAACCAAAATTTATAATTCACGCAGGTTAGTCCAACTGTCTGTGTTCTCGTTGGTGGTGAATAACACCTAGGGTCTTGAAGAACTCGGTAATCAGTCTTTTCGATGTCACAACGGGATTCACATTCTAATCACTCTCAGTCTTTTTTCATGTGCAGTCATTAAGGAGAGTCCATACGACTGGCCCTCATCGGCAGTATGCAGGGCGTCTCATAAGAGACGCGAACTTTGATTGGGTAAGTAAACGTAGCCAGTCAGAAGAAAGATAACAAAGTTTTCCATTATTAGTAGCCGCATATAGGAGGATTTGTATGCAAGTGTTGACATTTTTTTCTTTTTGCGAGGGATGTCAGTACGCGCACTGAAATTGTGAAACTCTATTATTCCATTGGTGAAAGCGCCACTGCTGCACTTCGTGGTTACAAAACCAAACATGGTCTCATCAAAGATCCTTTCACCATATCGACCATTACACGGTTGATTGCAAAATTTGAGTCCACTGGATCTTTATTGGATTTTCCTGGCAAAAGGGAGAAAGCCTCTGAGTGATGGAAGAGTGCCCATTGTACAGAATGCCGTCGAGCAACTTTATTACAAAACATCACGAAGAAGATAAGGAGCAACGTGTCCACTTCGCTAACCGGCTGCTGGACAATGAAGAAATCGTTCCCAACATTTTATGCAGCGATGAAGTAAATTTTTCTGTGGATGGCATAATCAACAGGCACAATTGCGTAATATGGTCCCGTGAAGCTCTTCACGAGTACTTCGCCCATAATCTCCATTCCCTCCATCTCTGTGGATGGGATTCTCCTTAAAGTGCCTCCTGTGTCCTTTTTTCTTTGATGCTGCCGTTTCCGGCGAGAGTTGCCTCCATATGCTGCAGACGCATGTTATTCCGCAACCCAAGCATCGACCGTCTTTCAACAAGATGGCGCTCCACCCCACTACTCAACCCAAGTGAGAACTTACCTCCGAGAGCAATTTTCTGATGAGAGAGTCGTTGCTAGTGGATTTCCAAACTTTTGTCCCGCAAAGTTACCTAATCTTACACTTCTGGTTTGTTGGTTTTGGGGCTTGATCAAAACTTGCGTATATCATGAAAATAAACCTAAGAATTTGGTGGAGTTAAGAGCGAGAATTTAAGAGGAGTGTACACGAGTGACGCTTGAAGAAGTTAAACATGCTGTGTCTCACATCTCATACCGCCTCCAACTTGTTATAGAAATAACGGTTTTTTTTAATATTTTTGTAATGTCATTTTGTTTCCAGTAAACTTCCGTAATGCATGTATGTTCGCACGAAAAATAATTATTGTTTAAGTAGGCGTTCAACTTTTACCATTATTATTATTTTTGCGTGTATTAAAAGACACCCCGTATATCGTTTTTCGTTCCGGGATTTGGACTCTGGACATCAGAGGTTCCAGTACTCCACCAGCGAGCGCCAGACGTAGCTGAAATATCACATCTAGCCAGGAGAACGTGGTCGCTCTCTTTATACAACCTGTTTCTTTTCCTAAGAAGAAACGATTTAGAACGTTAACGAACTACACTCATTTTTATATCAGTTTGGATATGATGGGAGACCCACCCACGAATCCAGCTGAATCTCTCATTTGGAACGTTTCCAGGCAGTTGAACTAAACTCGGCTGTTGTCCTCAAATGAAAAACAAATCCGGTTTCCAGTTATGCGCATCACGCCTAGTGGTGCGCTGTGAATTAACCTTGAACTCGAGCCCAAATCGATAGCTCCTACCCTAGGTGGATTACCATATTTGAAAACCTCTCTACAGGGTGTCTCATAATAGACGCAAAAAATAATACCTATGTTAAAACTTCAACACCAATTCAGATATGCGTCATTTTTTATGTGGAAGTACATGGAGGTGGCGTCTCATAATACGATGCACGTTGGCACAGTGAATGCCGGTCAACTGAGACACCTGAGTTATTGACGAAGATGCTCTGGGACTGAGGTTGCTCGACGGCATTCTGTACAATGGGCGCTCTCACATCACTCACAGACTTTCTCCCTTTTTCAGAAAAATCCAGTACACATCCAATGGACTCAAATTTCGCAATCAAGCATGTAATGGTCGACACGGTGAAAGGATCTCTGATGATACCATGTTTGGCTTTGTAACCAGGAAGTGCAGCGGTGGCGCCTTCACCAATGGAATAATAGAGTTTCACAATTTCAGTGCGCCTACTGACATCTGTGGTAAACAGAAAAAATGTCAACACTTGTTTACAAAACCTTCCTTATGTGGCTACCAATAGTAATACTTTTGTTATCCTTTCCTTGATTGGCTACGTTTGTTCACCCAATCAGATTTTGCGTATTTTATGAGACATTCAGTATTTGTTTCTCAGTTCATCCAGACGTGTAAAAATCCTCTTGGCGGTTGTGTTATCAAAAGAGAGGTACGCGGTCTCGACACCACCACATCTTATGAGCGATAGATAGCCTGGTTTAGGGAAAAACAACTCGTTGTGGATGAGTGCTCTGTAAATTATCGCATACGTGACCACTGAAGACTGTTTGTGACGCACACAGCGGGGGCGCCAATGCGTTGGGTCGCAACTGCCTTAGCACTCAGTGGAGGTTGCGACGTGGTTACATGTGTCGCACTGTAGTATATCGGTGCACAACTCTAGTCAACGTCTGAATCATTTGCAATCTTTGCATCCTTTTCCTGTGCATACCACCATGAACGACCAACTTTCCCACCCCTGCAAAAGTCCTGGTCGATGTTTGCAGTCAGATAATCCTTCCTTCAAAAGTGTGTTGCGCAATACCAACCCCCCTTTGGTAGTCTAAGAGTGCTCGCTTTTGCCGCCTGACTTGGGTTTTTGTGTTCTGAAGCCTTTTGAGGGGGGACCGGATGGAAATATGAAGATGACACGATGTGGACTTGGAGGGTAATGACTCAGGATCCAGAACTAGTGAGATCTTCGCACGCAGTGGCCTTGAAAGACCTCCCACTGACGATTTGGAGAGTGCCTACCTCGGGTAAAGCTGAGTTCCAACGAGAATCCCACAGGCCCTCGTAAAGATGTACTTTAATGAAACGTAATCAATGGCGCGGCAGGAGGTATGAAACAAACAGAACAGTTCTCTGGATAGTTTTTTAATATTTGATCTAAAACCAACCTGAAAAGACGTATCACACAAAATTCTTTCCAAAAACAGGGACACCGAGGAGTTTGATGAGGGGAGCGGAGTGAGTCAACAGCAAATCCCGGACAACATTTGCAGGGCATTTACCAGTCTTTGGTCATCAATAACATGGAAATGGTGACGCATTCCAATGAGACCTAAAGGAGGACGGAAAAAATAATGGTAAAATGTACCAGGTATTGTGTGTACCTGATCTAGGAGCCTGATCTGATAGCCTTCAAGTCATGCATACACTCCACCAAAGCAAACAGCCGAACTGATATGTCCTGGAGCGTCACTGTAATGAAGGAGGGTGGGTTTGGAAATCTCAACAAGAAAACTTCCCTACATACAAGCATTCTTCATTTGTCCACCCGAGAAAAGCTCCAGAAAATCTCGGTTAAACTTCCAGGGTGTGTGTGTGTGCGATTCTGGTTCATTAGGTGTGAAACTTCTGTCCGAATGTGATTAGTCATGTTATCGCTAATCCCACATTTCATTACCTGACCTAGCTCTACAAGAAAAGAAAGTCATTTTACTACATTGACGTTACGGTGACTTGTGCGTACCATTGTAACCGGGTCATAGATTCAGCAAATGTATGGGTGGGGAGAGTTATTTGACTCATTATTTCAACAGTCGCTCACTGTCCCACGACACGGCAAACACTATGATCCACAGCACCAATGTTGCGCTATGCCAGCCTATTTCCTATTGGCTGAGGGGTATCTGACCTCCTATTGGTTCTTTAGGCCTGAAGGCCACAGCAGGCGCATGTTTGCTCCAATCAGCAGCCGTACAGTGAACGAATCATATACAAGTACGTCAACCCGTTGCTTTTGTCTTGGGAGAGAAGTTGTTGCTATCACCATGATGTCACACAACTAAGGGACGACTTGATTCATGGGTAGGGTCCACTGGCAAATTATTCCTGGGTAATCTAGGACAATGACTGATAACTTGAAACCTCAGAGAATAAAACGTTGACGGAGATCTCGTTTTCAGTTTACCTCAGGGATTTCAGTGTTCCCCTCGAACATACGAATCTATTACGATATTTCGCAAATTACATGCGGCTTGAGAGCGAAGAAAAAGCTGAACTCTCCTCATCAATGCTTTATTCGACAGCTTATTCGGGTGAATATCCTTTCACAGTTGAGAAGCATCCTTACGGATGCCTATTCTTTTGAGCTCCGAGCAGCTAAGCACATTAGGAATATTGGGCCCTAAGATGTTACTTCGTCTAACGTAAGTAGTTAGAAAGCGGGATAAAAATGTTGACATCTGAGCACTTACTATGATTAATTTAGAGACAGGAAAAGAACCTGTGAGGCTGATAGAGACTATTATACCTGATTTTGAAGGCGGTATAAAACAAAATGGTGAGATGTTTCAAAGCAACCATTGCTGTTCAACCAAAGGGGAAATATGTGCCGAGCAACTGTTGATAACTAAATAGTCGCTAGAATCAGATGAAAATCTGTAGGAGAGACAGATTATTTCTGCCCATACGTGAGTCATCTTCATTCAAGTAATATTTTATGGTCCGAACTTACCATGAGAACGAGAAGAATGATGGACCCCCAAAGTACACCGACTGCGACCTTCATCAGAGCTTCCCAACAGCCATAAGCAATACTGCTATTGAGAGGATCGAAAACGCTGGGACAGTTGCCTTGTGGTTGGTTGTAGAACACGAATTTGCAGCAAGGAATCGGATACATTAAGGCTGTGGAGAAAGTTGGAAGAAAACAGAAAAAATGAGGTCAAACAGAGCAGGAACTGTGGCTAATCATCCATCTCCTGGGAGGAAGCTATTGGAGACTCTCATGTCCCTACGGTGTAAGGAGGTAAGCTTTTTGCCGCGGAGTAGTTTGTTAGAAAACATCAACTAAACGTTACGAACTAGTGGACAGGAAAGTAAACGCTTCATATGTACTTTATTTTTAAAAACTGAACATCCCCAGCTGTCGTGGATATTCATTGACCAACACGCAGTTGTAAATGAATGCTGCAAAGCAGCTCCACAAGTTCCGTACTGAACCCCACCTTCCATTGGACGCGAGGCGGAGTTACGAGAAACCACATACTACTCGCGTGTCTCATCAGTAGTGTCCCCGATTCACGGGTAGCTCACCTAGCGACTTTCAACTTGAGAATGCGTAGTGAGCACAATTCATCGAACAAATCTATGCGGGATAGTTGGCATATCGATGGGATTTGTGTAGCTGACCAGTGAAGACAGACGGGGCAACGCGGGCCACTGTGGTGGAATTTCGGGTTAAACAATTAGCTTGATGGGTCTGTCTAACGGCTCGCAGAATTTCGCCTCGTCGTCTGACGGTGCTTTTTGCAAAGTAGGCAGTTCCATTTGAACGGTCATCATGTGGGGAGATCACGCGTATTGGATTCATGTAAAATTCCAACTGGAACAGGCTATTTCCTATCCGATGTCGGTGAACCATGCACGGAGAAACTACAAGCGAAT